CGCTCGCCAGAAAGACAGAGACAGAGAGACAGGAAGTGAGAAATCACCCCCCAGGGGGGATGACCACACCACAGTCCCTTCTCCTCCATTTTCCTCGGAATCTTGGGCACACATACACAGGCACCTGGCATAAGTTTAAGCCACCAGGTCTGGGACTCGAACCACAGTTGACTATATAGGAGTCCAGCGACATAACCATTACACCAACTGCTGGTCCCTATCTCTGCTCTTTTCTAAATCATTTTGTTCTATGAAATATTGGCACGTTATTGTTTATAGCTTTTTTCCCCTTAAACATAGACAACTGTAATGCTAATTCAAAGTGTATTGTAGTAGCTGGGAATATTATATATGGGAGTATGACTACAAATTAAATTCCCAGTGTTATAATTTTTCTATCTGTAAAATGGGAAGGAATAATAATATAGCAGTGGTCCCCATCCTTTTTGGCATCAGAGACTGGTTTCATGGAAGGCAATTTTCCATGGACGAGTTTTGGAATGATTCGAGTGTGTTAAATTTACTGTGCATTTCCTTTGTAGGATTATTATATTGTGATACACAATGAAATAACTACAGAGCTCACCACAAGGTAGTATTTGCAGCCACTCCCCAGCGCTAGCATCACCACCTCAGCTCCACCTGGAACCATCAGGCATTAGGGTCTCCTAAGAAGGGTACAGCCTAGATCCCTCACATGTGCAGTTCACAGTAGGGTTGAAGCTCCTATGATAATCTCATGCTGCTTCTCATCTGCCAGGAGGCAGCGCTCAGAGAGTCGTGCGAGTGGTAGGTAACACCTGTAAATGCAGGTGAAGCTTTGCCTGCTTGCTGCCACTCCTTGCTGTGTAGCCTAGGTCCTAACAGGCCATGGGCCAGTACCAGTCTATGGCCAGGAGTGGGGACCCCTGAGCTACAGTGCTGAGTTATCATAAAGAGCTATCCTTGTGAAATGTTTAGTGCAATACCTGGCACATTTAACAAGTATTTTATAAATGTTATGCTTGCTTTCCTTTTACTACTGTTCACAGTCACAAAGATTTTTACTAAGGTTTGCCACATCATGTCTTTAGTGTTCTTGGAATTAGGAAGTAAGAATTACAGGGGCCAGCGGGTAGCATGCTGGTAAAAGCACTAGGCTCCCACATGGCCGGCTGTGGTTTGAATACTGGACCTGGCAGCTTGCTTTTTCACTTTTCTCTCTTTTTCTCTCTCTCTCAGTCTCTGGTGACTATAACAAATTAAAATAATAAGAATAATAAATTAAAATGAAAATAATTCTTTTTTAAAAAGATTTGTTTATTTAATTTTATTTGTTACTATTATTGTTTTGAATTTGACTAGAGAGAGACAGAGAGAGAGAGGGAAAGTGAAAAAGCAAGCTGTCAGGTCCGGGACGAAAGGAAAAAGCCACCCCCCCGGGCCCGGAACTTGAACCATGGTCAGCCATGCAGGAGTCCAGCACCTTAACCACCACACTATCTACCAGCCCTAGATTAAAATAATTCTTAAAAAAAAAATGTTGCCTGCTGAAGTGGAGGGCTCTTGTCTCCTAGAGAGGGAGAGTATTCCCAGCATCAGTAGAGATCGCATGAGGGGACGTGAGAGACTGTGCTTATAGGCGGTGAAGCCTGTGCAGGTGATTTGCCTGAGGGTGCATTGTCTGTGCGTTGTTAACACAGTTCTGTTTACCGAAGGTTTTCTTTTGAACACCTAAACGTGAACATTATGCTATCACCCTTTTAACTTGAGAAGATTTTTGTTTTTTGAGTTTTTTTGAGAGGTTTTTGCTATAGGGCACATGCGCTTGCCAGAAAGACAGACAGAAAGATAGAAAGCAAGAAATCACTCCCCAGGGAGGATGGCCATGCCGCAATCCCTTCTCCGTTCTTCTCTTGGGATCCCGGGCATGCACGCGCACACATGCGCGTGTGAGTTTAAGCCACCGGGTGAGTTTAAGCCACCCTGTCCAGGACTCAAAACCATGGTCAACTACATGGGAATCCAGTAACATGGCCATTACACCAACTGCTGGTCTTGAGAAGGTTGTTTTTTTTTTTTTTTTAAGAATTATTTATTATTATTATTGTTTTTCAGTTTGACAAGGGAAACGTGTGCGCGCGCACACACACACACACACACACACACACACACACACACACAGGGACAGAGACAGACAGACTTCAGGTCTGGGACTCAAACCACAGTCAGCCATGTAGGAGTCCAGCCCCTTAATCATCATGCCACCTGCCAGCCCAAGTTTTTATTTCATTTGCAAAACCCATTGCGCTTAGTGGCTTACTACTTTTTCCATTCATTCAACACATATTTAGTGAGGGTCCCTTTGAATGCTAAGCACTGTTTTGGCCACGTGGACTATTAACAGTGAGGGCCCTCCCTTCAGTGCAGCGGTTAAGCCCTTTACATAGTGAACCAGGTCCCTCATGGCTAATCATGGTTCAAATCCTGGCCCAAGCTGCTTGAAAAATGTGCTGGGCCAACGCGTGTGCACCAGAAACCCTGATGGGGGAGAAGGGGAAGCCCCATTGGGGGTTTTCTTCCTCTCTTCCTTTGGCAGGTACACATGTCCTTTGACAATAATGAAAAGAGGATTTTAACAGTGAGGAAAATGGATGCAAATGCTGTCATAGAGTTTCCATTTCCAGTTAGGGGGCTGAGTGATAAATAGCCTGAGTTTGAAGCACCCAACCCCAGAAGGAGCTGCTCTAAGTGTAATGGAGATGCACAGCAAGCTGGGGTGCTGCCAGGAGAGGCTGGCAGCGGTGTTCTGCATGGCCTCGCAAGTGTGGTCCTAGTTCTTTCTGGCCGCTGTAGTTCAGGTCCAGTATTCAGTCTTTCGAAAGGATCGCTAGAACCCTCACCATGTTAGGTACTCTGAGTTGATCAGAGCCAAAATTAACTGAACGTTGCTCATTGTCATAAGGGACTGGTATATGAGCCAAAATGCCACTTCATTAATCTGATAAAATGTAGCACTAGCAGGCAGACTGGAATTCACACAGCGCTGTTGAGGCATGCCTTATTGTGTATTCAACCATGTGAGAAGTCAGATTATACTTAGAAGATTGCCTTGGTGCATATGAAGTCTGAAAAACAGTAACATAATTCCACAGGTGACAGGGTCTCCTTCCTAGGGGACAGGGCTCTTCTGGCCTTCACTGTCTACATCTTGGGCTAACTAGTCTTTTGACTCCCACAGTTTTTATCTAGATAGATTACATAAGAAACAGTAGATTCTATTTTAGTTGATTAAATTACCACAACATTCCAGTCCTGCCTTTTCTGCCTCTTGGAGATTACCCAGGTCACCTTGGTTGAAATTTTTGGTATAAATCCCACTGTCAAACAGTTGCAGACAGCATTGTTTTACTCGATCACAAGGCATCTGTTGCATACCCAATTTAGGCTCAGAAGGTGGCCGTAATCCTTGTCTTCAAGTTTTTGAGAGCACCCTGTTTTCATGTATATAACTTCCTTATTGATCATTAGAAATGCATGGGATAAGATATGGAGGTGAAATTGACATGAATATGAGATGGTAGTTACTATCTAAAATTCAGACGTACATGAGTTGCCAAAAATTCCGTTTTTATTGTTTGTTTGTTGGTTTGAGGTTTTGCCACACGGTTCATGCACTCAAAGGAAAGAGACAGAGAGAGATAGTGAGAAACTACTCACCCACCCCGGAGTGGGGGGTGGAATGGCAGTGCCACAATCTCTTCTTCTCCCTCTCCTCCTGGGATTTTGGGCATGTTCGCATGCACCCAGTGTCATTTTCAAGCCGCCAGGTTTGGAACTCCAAACTGTGGTCAGCCATGTGGGAGTCTGATACCTTAACCTCTGTGCCACCTGTTGGCCCCTGAGTTATAGCTTTTATAAGCTTTCCTTGAAATTGGTCACTCATTGAAAAGTGAAGGACTGGGGACCAGTAGGTGGCTTGATGGTTAAGACACTAGACACTCCCACATGACAGACTACAGTTCGAGTCCTGGACCTGGTTGCTTGCTTTCTTACATTCCCTCTCTTTCTCGCTCTGAGTCTGTCTCAGGTCAAATTAAAATAAATGAATGCATAAATAAAATTAAATAAATCTTTTAAGATAAGAAAAATGAAGGACCTCCCTTTCTTTCATTTTTGTTTGCCTGAACAAAATCTGAAGAGCCATAGTAAAGTCTAAAAATATAAAATCACATTTAGGGAACGTATTTTATATTTAATTTCATATAAAATTCAGCATTACTCTTATGGTTTACACAGGGAATTTTGATTAAGGAAAACCATCTTGGGGGACCAATAGGTGGCATGGTGGTTAAGGTGCTATACACTCCCACATGGCCGATGACGGTTCTAGTCCCAGACCTGGTGACTTGCTTTCTTACTTTCCCATTCTCTCTCTCTCTCTCTGTTTAATAATAATGGAAATCACTTCTACTCATTCTGTTGTACAACTTAATTATAAAAAGTTTGTTTACCAGTTACACAAGTGCTCAGCAAGGCTGGAAGCCAAATGGTGACCATGGGTTCAGATCCTTACAGCTTAAAAACATGCTGGGTGAATGCATAAGTGCCCAAGGTGTTGGGAGCTGGAGGTCTGGGCAAAGGCAGTGGTGGCATGATGAGACCCTTTGGAGAGTAACTCGTGCATGTGCACATGCTCGCTTTCTCTCTATATATAGGATGTGTGTATGTGTGTGTATAATGTATGCATAGTATCATTTTTTCAAACGTTTTTCTAAAATAATACCTTAAATTCATATGGCATTGTTTGAAAGGAAAGCAAAATGTGGTAGAAATAAATTTATGAGTTTGTTGAAAATAACGTTCAGTTTACTGCCAGGAAATAGGTTGGTTAAGATGAAATGTGTTGGACATGTACATTTCAGGTTATAATACAAGAATAACTGAAAACAATTGTTCTTTTTTCACAGAGTTAATGTACAGATTGAGTGTAATCCTGTGTTTATATATGTTTCTTTCAGGGTTAGTGGTTGGATTTATTCTAACTATTGCAAATTTCAGCTTTTTTACCTCTTTGCTGATGTTTTTCCTTTCTTCTTCAAAACTCACTAAATGGAAGGGAGAAACGAAGAAGCGTCTAGATTCAGAATATAAAGAAGGTAAAATTAATTATATTTGACATTACTCAGCATAGTAAACTTTATTTCTTCATGACATAAGCTTTTAATCAGACCATGTTGTTTAGAGACTGTCGAAACAGATAAACTTTATGAAAATTATTTTAGTAGCTTAATTAATTTTTTTTTTGACAATAGGAAGTTACAACAGAATTTGAGAAGTCCAAGAATATGTTATTAATTTTTCTACTTTTTAAAGTTTTGTTATTATTAGTAGTAGTAGTATTTTAATTCACTAGAGAGAGACAGAGAAAGTGAGAAAGCAAGATTCTAGGTCCAGGACTCAAACTGCTGTTAGCCATGTGGGAGTTCAGCTTCTTAACCACCACACCACCTGCTGACCCTTATTCTGCATTTATTAATAACAGTTCAAATGTGACAAAGATGTCATACCACTTTTTTAAACTTTAGTCATCTTTCCTTTTTTTTTTTTTTTAAAGAATTATTTACTTAGTTTTATTTATTCATTTATTTTAATTTGACCATAGGGAGACACACACACACACACACACACACACACAGAGGGAGGGGGCGGGAGGAAAGTGAGAAGGCTGCCAGGTCCAGGACTCAAACTGTGGTTGGCCATGTGGGAGTATCCAGTGCCCTAACCACTGCACCACCTGCTAGTCCCCCATCTTTCCATTTTTAAACTTGAATATATAAGTTCCTATAACTGCATGGTTTTCCTTCTGAGGAGAAAACATTTCTTATCCCTGTCTGTTTCCAGGAGGACAAAGGAATTGGGTTCAGGTGTTCTGTAATGGAGCAGTGCCCACAGAACTGGCTCTGCTGTACATGATAGAAAATGGCCCTGGAGAAATCCCCATCGATTTTTCTAAGCAATATACTGCTTCCTGGATGTGTTTGTCTCTCTTGGCTGCACTGGCCTGCTCTGCTGGAGATACATGGGCTTCAGAAGTTGGCACGGTTCTGAGTAAAAGCCCACCACGGCTGATAACAACTTGGGAGAAAGTTCCAGTTGGTGAGTCTCAATTTCAGTTTCTTAAAAAATAACAAGAGGAGGGCCCCAGGCCGGTGGTAGTTAAGGCACTGGATTCCCACATAGCCAACCGTGGTTCAATCCTGGACCTGGCAGCCTGGAAATCACACCAGGTGTGTGTGCATGCATGCCCAAAGTCCCAGGAGGAGAATGGAGGAAAAGGGATCGAGGTATGGCCATCCCCCATAGGAGGCGATTTCTCCCTTTACTCTCTCTGTCTCACTGGCAAGTGAACATGCCCTATGGCAAAAACCTAACAAATAAAAGAAAACAGTTGAATTTAATGTATTTATTTTAAAGCCTTTTAAGAATTTTATTGAGTTTTCTTAATTGGAAAATTGCTATAGACTGACTATTAAATTGGTGATAGCAACATTTACAGAAAATGTTAAGAAGACCTAGATAAATAATATAGGAATATAGAGATTGACCTGACCACAAATATATCAATATGTGTGTGGGGGGGAATGGGAACAATAGTGTTTCTTGCGGATTTATTATATAATCAGTGCTTTAACATGTATCTCATTTTCTTGCTGTTATCAACTATTACTTTTTTTATTATCTCCTTATTCCTTGGCCTCTTTTTCCTCTTCCTCCTTCCCATCTTCTCTTCCTCCTTCACTTTCTTCTTCTCCTCACCATAACAGCTAACATTTTTTTTTAAAAGATTTTTTTTTTTTTTTGCTATAGGGCGCGTGCACTCACCAGACAGAGACAGAGAGACAGAAAGCGAGAAATCCCCCCCCAGGGGGGATGGTCACGCCGCAATCCCTTCTCCTCCATTCTCCTCTCGGGATCTTGGGCACGCACGTACACGCGCCTGGCATTGAGTTCTAAGCCACCGGGTCCGGGACAGGAACCGCGGTCGACTACGTGGGAGTCCAGCGACATAGCCATTACGCTAACTGCTGGTTCCCCTAACATTTTTTTTTAAAAGATTTTTTTTTTTTTTTGCTATAGGGCGCGTGCACTCACCAGACAGAGACAGAGAGACAGAAAGCGAGAAATCCCCCCCCAGGGGGGATGGTCACGCCGCAATCCCTTCTCCTCCATTCTCCTCTCGGGATCTTGGGCACGCACGTACACGCGCCTGGCATTGAGTTCTAAGCCACCGGGTCCGGGACAGGAACCGCGGTCGACTACGTGGGAGTCCAGCGACATAGCCATTACACTAACTGCTGGTTCCAACAATTTTTTGTTTTGAGAGAAATTTTTTTATAGGTTGCATGTCCACATGGCAGAAACAGAGAGACAGAAAGCAAGAAATCACCCTCTAGAGGGGATGGCCATGCTGCAATCCCCTCTCTTCCATTCTCCTCTCAGGATTTGGGGCATGCATACTCACTTGGCATGAGTTTCAAGCTACTGAGTCTGGTACTCAAACCATGGACAGCCATGTGGGAGTCCAGTACCTTAACCACCATGCCACCTGCCGACCCCAACAGCTAACGTATTTGGAATACCTGCTATGTGCAAAACACCATTCTAACTGATTAAATGGATTACCACTTAGTACTCACAATCATTTGAACTAGTTCTTTTATTATTTTCATCTTACAGACAAGGAAACTAAAGCACAGAAAATTAGATAAATTAATAGCTCACACAGTTCAAAATGGCAGAATTGAATTAAAACTAGACCATCTGGGGGACCAGCAGTTAAGAGTAATGGCTATGTCACTGGTCTCCCATATAGTTGACCATGGTTCGAGTCCCAGACCCGGTGGTTTAAACTCACTCCGGGCATGTGTGCATGTGTGCCCAAGATCCCAAGAGGAGAATCTTGGGAGGAGAAGGGATTGCGGCATGGCCAT